TTCTCAAAAAATAGCAATATTGCTGCCTAGTCATGAAGGCCGGTTTTTAATTTAATCCCAAACACAGAATCGTTTAATTGGACTTTAAACAAAAATATTGTCACTAATACAAACAAACAATATTATATAACCGATACGTAAACCAATATCAGATATTATATACCGATAGTATATAATATAATATATATATATATATATATATATATAAATATATATATATAAATAATATAATATATATATATATATATATATATATATATTATATATTATTATTATAAATGAATAATAATAATATAATATATATATATTATATATATATTATTATTATATTATTAGTTTTATATTATTATTATTAACAGGGAGAGAGAGAGGAAAATAAATAATATAAATAATTATTATTATTAATATTATTATTATTATTTATTATATTATTATTATATTATTACACAGGCGAGAGATTAGAGTGGAGAGAGAATGCGCTAGTAGGAAGTTATTTTCTGTTAAAATTCTCCTAATGGTTTTGGTTGATTCAAACCTTACATCACATCCTGCCATGAACCATTACCTTATGAGTGTGTGTGTGCCTGTGTGTGTGACAAGTGGTGTGCGTGTGTGTGTGTGTGTGTTGTGTTGTTGCACATTACCCAAATAAACAATACAGAATCACAAGACATATGCCATATTACCCATCCCATATTTCACCTTTGCAATACAAAATCACCTTTGCTGTCTTTCTCTCCCCGATACAAAAAATAAAAATATGCAGAACTGCAACAAACCCAAATTGCAAAATACACTCGCAACACACAATTGCGATACAAAATTAAAATTCATTTGTGGCAGAATACATTTGCCGTAATTGTATAGGTATTGTATACATTACTCATGACCGTCAACCCCAGAATTTCATGAGTAAATCCCCTCCAAAAAATGCATTTGAAAAACGTGTGTGAATTTCAGAACTAACTCACCATCGTCCTGTCGTTAATTAGGAGGAAAAAATTGGTTGACTGCGTTAGCGACGTCGTTATTCAGAGAGAGAGAGAGAGAGAGAGAGAGAGAGAGAGAGAGGACAGACAGACAGACAAACAGACAGACATAGACAGAGAGACAGACGGAGAGATAGAGACAGAGAGAGAAACAGAGAGACAGAGACAGATTAAAGGAAATTAAGGCTTTGACAGATACAAAGAGCTGGAGGCAGAGACATTTTGAAATAGACAGGGAGTTAGAGACAGACAGTTTGATACGGACAAGGAACTGGAGGCACAGACAGTCTGACAGATGAAAAGACTGAGACAAGTCAGGAGGGAGAGATGCATAGACAGACCCACAGAAAGAGACAAAGAGAGAAAGGTAGAGATGAGAGAGAGAGAGAGAGAGAAAGAGAGAGAGAGAGAAAGGTACAACAGCTGCACCAGAAACTATAAGCCTTATTGGAAAAAATTTCCTGCTCTCACGACATGGCTTTCAGCAAGATTTCTGTGAAAGGTTTTATACCTGACCCCCCCCCCTTCCGTTTTCTGACCCCCTGGTCCTTGCCCCCGATCCTGAACCCCCCGGTCCTGACCCCCTTGTTCGGACCCCCCGGATCCTGACCCCCAGAAGCCTGACCCCCCGGGTCTTGACCCCCGGATCCTGAACCCCGGGTCCTGACCCCCCGGGTCCTGACCCCCGGGTCCTGACCCCCCGGGTCCTGACCCCCCCGGGTCCTGACCTCTAGTCTCTTTCTTGACCCCTTATCTCTGACCATGAATTCCTAACCATTGACCTGAGAGAGAGAGAGAGAGAGAGACAGAGAGAGAGAGAGATAGGGAGACAGAGGCAGAAAGCTATAGGGAGACAGAGAGACAGAGATAGACACACACACAGACACACACCCTTGAGACAGCGACAGAGAGACATAGAATACGGATAAAGGAGAATAAAAGAATTATGGAAGGAGGTGGCAGGGATATTTCCTGCCATCAGGTCACGTTGCAGCTTTTAGGGAAATTTCAGAGAAGGCTTTTAGACGCTGCTGGAGGCGGTGTGTGTGTGTGTGTGAGGGGAAAAGAATCAAGAGAGGGGAAGAATATCCTCCACTTTTCCCCTCTTCGCGTATACGCTACGCATATCCTACGCAAGTCTCACTAAGGCTAGCGTTCAACCCGCGGGAAGGAAAGGAGGGTCTTGTAGTGTCGAAAGTTGAGCATTTTGCATTCGAAGGTACGGTGGTTCGAGCCTAACACTGAGATGACAAAGACAGGCCAGTGTTACTAGTCTTTCCGCTGTCATCTACCGAAAACAATATATATAGCTCGTTAGCATTGCTTATTTATATCATTAGAAATAATCCAAAACAGCCACAGGGGGAGCTGAATGAAAGCTCTAGGCCTTTCGTGTTGCATTCAACACATCATCAGGAGCTTGCAATAGTTATACCTCCGGAATTTTTTTATACACTTGGGTCAGTTCACGCCAGAGTGTTTCACCCACACACATTCTGAAGCAACCCTGAAGCAACCCCCTGAAGCAGCCTTGAAGTAACGCTGAAGCAACCCCTGAAGCAACCCAGAAGCAACCCCCTGAAGTAACCCTGAAGCAACCCAGAAGCAACCCTCTGAAGTAACCCTGAAGCAACCCTAAAGCACGTCCCTGAAGTAACCCTGAAGCAACCCAGAAGCAACCCCCTGAAGCAACCCAGAAGCAACCCTCTGAAGTAACCCTGAAGCAACCCAGAAGCAACCCCCTGAAGCAACCCAGAAGCAACCCTCTGAAGTAACTCAGAAGCAACCCTAAAGCACGTCCCTGAAGTAACCCTGAAGTAATCCTGAAGCAACCTTGAAGCAACTCTGAAACAACCCTGAAGCAACCCCCTGAAGTAACCCTGAAGTAACCCTGAAGCAACCCTAAAGCACGTCCCTGAAGTAACCCTGAAGCAACCCTGAAGCAACCCCCTGAAGTAACACTGAAGCAACCCTAAAGTACCTCCATGAAGTAACCCTGAAGTAATCCTGAAGCAGCCCTGAAGCAGCCTTGAAGTAACGCTGAAGCAACCCCGTGAAGCAACCCAGAAGCAACCCCCTGAAGCAACCCTGAAGCAACTCCCTGAAGCAGCCTTGAAGTAACGCTGAAGCAACCCCCTGAAGCAACCCAGAAGCAACCCCCTGAAGTAACCCTGAAGCAACCCAGAAGCAACCCCCTGAAGCAACCCAGAAGCAACCCCTGAAGTAACGCTGAAGCAACCCTAAAGCACATCCCTGAAGTAACCCTGAAGTAATCCTGAAGCAACCTTGAAGCAACTCTGAAACAACCCTGAAGCAACCCCTGAAGTAACCCTGAAGTAACCCTGAAGTTACCCTAAAGCAACCCCCTGAAGCAACCCTGAAGCAACCCTGAAGTTACCCTAAAGCAACCCCCTGAAGTAACCCTGAAACAGCCCCCTGAAGTAACCCTGAAACAGCCCCCTGAAGCAACCCTGAAGCAACCCTGAAGCAACCCTGAAGCAACCCTGAAGCAACCCTGAAGCAACCCTGAAGCAACCCTGAAGCAACCCTGAAGCAACCCTGAAGCAACCCTGAAGCAAACCCTGAAGCAACCCTGAAGCAAACCCTGAAGCAACCCTGAAGCAAACTCTGAAACAATGATATTTATATGTCAACATATATAAATATATAAAGAATGCGACACATAGCTCAAGCCTTTGCTTACAGTATGCGACGTCTCGCTTAAAGTGGAAGATGTTTCGCTCCAAGTTCGACTTCGTGAAGCCCCATTAGAGCGAAAGTAGACGAACTTTCGGTCCTCTAATATAGGGAAGAGGTCCGAGAAATCAAAGACATATTAACATAGTAAGACTTTTAACGACGTTTCGCACACTGTGGGCGAAACGTCAAGTACACAGACACTATATGTAAACTTTGCGATATTTATGCCTGTGATTCAGCACCTCTCTACTTGATAATGGCGAAAGAGTGAGCGAAACATCGTAGGTGAGTTGGGAGAAGAAGAAGAAGAAGAAGAAGAGGAGAAGGAGGACGAGGAGGAAGAGAAGGGAAGAACGGAAGGAGGAATTAGAGAAAGGATGGAAGAGATAATCTGTCACCTGTTGCTTGACTTAAGTCGTGATAACAAGATCATGTTAAACAAGACCAGGCTAAGTGTGCTTCATTAATATTCGTGTGTGTGTGTGTGTGGTGTGTGTGTGTGTGTGTGTGTGTGTGTGTGTGTGTGTGTGTGGTGTGTGTGTGTGTGTGTGTGTGTGTGTGTGTGTGTGTGTGTTGTGTGTGGTGTGTGTGTGTGTTGTGGTGTGTGTGTGTGTGTGTGTGTGTGTGTGTGTGTGTGTGTGTTGTGTGTGTGTGTTGTTGTGTGTGAGGTGTGTGTGTGTGTGTGTTTGTGTTGTGTGTGTGTGGTGTGTGTGTGATGTGTGTTGTGTGTGTGTGTGTTTGTGTGTGTGTGTGTGTTGTGTGTGTGTATGTGTGTGTGTGTGTGTGTGTGTGATTGATGTGTGTGTGTTGTGTGTGTGTGTGTGTGTGTGGTGTGTGTTTGTGTGTTGTGTTGTGTAGTGTGGTGTGTTGTGTATGCAAAATAACCTACTGTGAAAGAATAGTGAAATTCCAAGCGCTTTCGTGACTTCTCACATTATCAAGGAAATCATGAATATCAACCTGTTTTACTGTGATTCTATTGCATATGCTATTATGTATAAATATATATATTATATATATATTATATATATATATATTATATATGATATTATATATATATATATATATACCTGCAGTAAATGGCTACGTATGTACAATAAATGTCTTTAATAACAACACATTTTCGAAAAATCTCTGGTGTAGAGCCCTTACAAAATTTATTAAAAGAATTTAACGAAATAATATTTGTCTTACGATAATAAATGAAGTATGTTAAACCCTGGAAATGTCATGACGTATGTAATCTGGGTGTCCGGATGTTTGTGTTATTGATGGTAAAGTAACATCACTACGACGCTCACTGTACGGATTTTATGTGGGTGCCTCATACAGTTGTATGTCTAGCGGAGCGCTCTGACGTCTTAGTGAGCTGCGGCTCTGCTTGTATTTCTATTAAGCGGTGAGGTGAGCATTCGTCCGTGGTGAAGCAGTGAAGAAATGAGTATTAGATAGTGGTGAAGAAGTGAAGAAGTGAGAATCAATGTTCGTCCGTGGTGAAGAGGTATAGAAATGAATACTCATCCGTGCTGAAGAGAAGAAATGAACGTTCGTTCGCGGTGAAGAGGTCGAGAAATGAACGTTCGTCCGTGGTGAAGAGGTCGAGAAATGAACGTTCATCCGTAGTGAAGAGGTCGAGAAATGAGCATTCCCCCATGGCTGAAGAGGTGAAGAGGCGAAACTCTTCCTTGGAGTTGACAGTAACATCGCTGAGAAAGGAAACTGCAGTAGCTGTTGTTGACGAAAAAGAATCAGTGACTACTGTTGCACAAATGCTCTTGGATGTCGTATCAGTTGAGGTATAACTAGAGACATATTTTCGTAATTGTTGAGTTAATTGACCCTAGGAGAAAAGATGTCTTCGTAGATATTGACGTTGGGGGTCCTGTGCCCCCTTAGTGCTGAAGAAAACTCTGCTTCTGCTGAAGAACTGTGGCATTACGAACCTCGAGGAGGTGGAGGATATCGATAATATCAATAATGGTTGAAGTGTTAGAAAAAACATTACTGCATACTTAGTGAGGCACTGTCACTGTTAAAGGAGCTTGGCACCGGGGGAATCTGGCACTGTTTAGAGGAGCCTTGCACTGTCTGTAGGAGCCTGATGCTTCCCGGAGGAATCTGACACTGCCTGGAGGAGCCTTGCACTGCTTGTAGTACCTTGACATTTTCCGATGGAATCTGGCACTCTTTAGAGGAGCCTTGCACTGTCTGAACGAGCCTAATACTTCCCGAAGGAACTTGGCACTGTCTGGAGGAGCCTGATATTTCCTAGAGGCACCTGGCACTCTCTGGCCTCTACAGGAGCGAAATGATGAAAATAGTGCCAATGACCCAGGTTGTCCTCGCACGTCTCCTAGTTCTGACCTTCCTGTTATCGAGGACAACACAACAGGGAAGCACAAGTAGGTTCTGCTGATCCTCTTTGTTGTTCTTCTGAAATGTTCTGTTCCAGAGAACAAAGTGTTACAACAGCTGTAGTAGCAGTGACGAGAGTCGCAGGGTAACAACACATCTCTCATATCACTATTATCACTGTAATGTTCTGTACTTTCTTAATGTCACCGTTCTGTTCGTTCTGTCACTGTTCTGTATGTTCTGTCACTGTTCTGTATGTTCTGTCACTGTTCTGTATGTTCTTAGTGTCACTGTTGTGTTCGTTCTGTCACTATTATGTATGTTCTATCACTGTTCCGTATGTTCTGTCACTGTTCTGTACGTTCTATCACTGTTCTGTATGTTTTTAGTGTCACTGTTCTGTATATTCTGTCACTGTTCTCTATGTTCTACCACTGTTCTGTATGCTCTTAGTGTCACTGTTCTGTATGTTCTGTCACTGTTATGTATGCTCTATCACTGTTCTGTATGTTCTATCACTGTTCTGTACGGTCTATCACTGTTCTGTATGTTCTTAGTGTCACTGTTCTGTATATTCTGTCACTGTTCTGTATGTTCTATCACTGTTCTGTATGTTCTGTCACTGTTCTGTACTTTCTATCACTATTCTGTATGTTCTTAGTGTCACTGTTCTGTATATTCTGTCACTGTTCTGTATGTTCTATCACTGTTCTGTATGTTCTTAGTGTCACTGTTCTGTATGTTCTGTCACTGTTATGTATGCTCTATCACTGTTCTGTATGTTCTATCACTGTTCTGTACGGTTTATCACTGTTCTGTATGTTCTTAGTGTCACTGTTCTGTATATTCTGTCACTGTTCTGTATGTTCTGTCACTGTTCTGTATGTTCTGTCACTGTTCTGTACTTTCTATCACTGTTCTGTATGTTCTTAGTGTCACTGTTCTGTATATTCTGTCACTGTTCTGTATGTTCTATCACTGTTCTGTATGTTCTTAGTGTCACTGTTCTGTACGTTCTGTCACTGTTCTGTATGTTCTATCACTGTTCTGTACGTTCTATCACTGTTCTGTACGTTCTATCACTGTTCTGCACGTTCTATCACTGTTCTGTATGTTCTATCACTGTTCTGTACGTTCTATCACTGTTCAGTATGTTCTTAGTGTCACTGTTCTGTATATTCTGTCACTGTTCTGTATGTTCTATCGCTGTTCTGTATGTTCTTAGTGTCACTGTTCTGTACGTTCTGTCACTGTAATGTATGTTCTATCACTGTTCTGTACGTTCTAACACTGTTCTGTACGTTCTATCACTGTTCTGTACGGTCTGTCACAGTTCTGTACTTTCTTAGTGTCACTGTCCTGATAAAAAATTTAATCCCTATTTATCACTGTTCTTACTGCAGTGTTACTGCTGCGTTTAGTTACTTCTGTCTTCGTTTATTTATTCCGAATTTTGTTCAGTCTTCCTTGAACATGTTTGGCTTAGAAGTTATAATCCCACAGCAACATTTTTGGGACTCTTAGCTTTTTTTGTTCAACACCTACTTTGAACAACCCTGAAAGATAGGTTCAGAGGCCTTAACTCTTCTCTCTCTCTCTCTCTCTCTCTCTCTCTCTCTCTCTCTCCTCTCTCTCTCTCTCTCTCTCTCTCTCTCTCTCTCTCTCTCTCTCTCTTTATTTTATTTTTTTACAGAGGGTTTGACAAGGTTAAGGATCCCTAGCTTTATTGACAAGCTGTTTACAGGTTAAGGATTCCTAACTTTATTGACAAGCTAAGAGCTGTTACCTACATCAGCTCATTTGAAAGCATTTTTATTGTTATGAGACATACAAGTAGGGAACTGGATGAAGTTGGAGCCATCTGTGGGCCAGCATTTTCATGTGATCAACTGAATTTATCTCTTTGACATCATTATCCTGTACGAATGTGTTCCATACTCGAGTCATCCTGGGTATGTATGATCTCAGATGGAGTGATGTTCTGTAGAAGGGTACAGCCAGAGTGAAGTTGCTGCTTTCTGCCCGTCTTGTGGCATAAAAGCTTGTTTCACGCTGTCCTCGAAGTGGATCCAAGTGTGGTATTTTGACAATATTGGCCTTGTACATAACAGTAAGGCCACCCACATCCCTCCTATGTTGAAGGCTCTGCTGAAATGACAGATGTATCCAGGATGGGTCCAGGCGAGAGATGAGACGTCTTGCTCTGTTCTCTACTTTGTCAAACAGTCGCAGATGAGAGGGGGGGGGGCAGGTAAACCAAGAACTTGGAGCATACCCAAGGTGTGAGCGTACTTGTGCCTCGTACAGAATCTTGCAACCCCTACTGTCAAGCAGATGCGAGATACGGCGAAGAGCTGTAAGCTTCCTGGCTGCCTTGTTTGCAAGATTTACAACATGGTTCTTCATGGTTAGTTTGGAGTCAAATTTCACCCCAAGGATATCAACTTCCTCTCCAGGTGCCAACACCCTCTGTGAGGGAAAAGTTCAATAGATAGAAGTAGCGATATAGTAACAATAGTTTCATTGCCGGCTACTTGTTAAGGTAGGGTAAGTCCAGCGCCCGCTATCCCCCCCCCCACTTTTTCCCCCTCCCCGAAAGTGATAGTTTGCTTGCCGGCTACTTGTTAAGGTAAGGCAAGTCTAGCTCCCGCTATTCCCGCCTTTCCCCCCCCCCCAGCCCGAAAGTGATAGTTTGATTGCCGGCTGCTTGTTAAGGTAGGGTCAGTCTAGCTCCCACTATCCCTTCCCCTCCTTCTTCCCCCCCCCCCCCCGAAAGGTGACGTGTGGGGCTCCGGTCCAAACAATAATCACTAGACTCACAGCTCCCAGCACTACTGTAAGTACATGCCTGCCTTGTATTCTAGTGGATTTATTGGTTGAAAGCTTCACTTTTGACCAATAATAAACTTAGTCCTTTCAGTCTTGCTCTAAGTTGACTGTTGTAATAATCACCACATCTTTTATGTATTGTTCTTATCATGGAGAGTGATTTCTTAAGCAGTGGGTAACCTGTCTATCTTTCCAGCTTGGATGACAGAGAGGGTCACCTGCCAATCAACGAGTAGAATTCAAGGAGACGGACTAACGTTCTGAGATGTCCCGAATTTTGATCCACTTACCTGTTTGTGTATGCAAGTAGCAGGATATAACCCCTCATCACTGCAGTGGAGAAAACCTGCTTTCCTGTCATCTGGAAGGATTATTGAAAGCTAGAAAATCTGTGAAGAACGAGCCGGTGGGTTGTCATCAACACCTGCGCCCTCCCCCCATCATCAACAACGGCTACGATTTCAACAACACGCAGTGTCACCAACACCAGACACCCACGTTTTATATACATTTATATTAGCGTTGAATTCAGTTATCATTTAAATTTTTCATTTTTCATTTTCTTTAATGTAGGATTAATACTTCATATTTAAGTGTTTTATATTTTATATTTTCTAAATAATAAAGTGTTTATGGTTGTCAGTTTTTATTCTTTTTCTATACATTAATTTTCCTGAGGAGGAGCCAGCCTTGGTAATACTGACTGAAGTTTTTACAGGGCTGAGTAAGCCTTCACACCCTCCCATTCATCCTTACTACTGTACCAGCATTACCATCATGGTGCCTAGAGACGATCATCATTTGCGTTTTCTCAGGTTCAAATGTTACTTGCCATCTATTTCCCCAAGCTGATATAGCTCTCAGCTGGTGATTAATGCAGCTTAGAGCAGCTGGCATTTCTTCTCTGGGATAAGTGAATGTCAGTGTACAGTCGTCTGCATATGCATGTGATTCTGGGATGAGATGAAGAAGGTCGTTGAAGTGGACATTCCATAACAATGGACCCAGCACGCTTCCTTGTGGAACACTTGCCCCAATAGGATGTCTTGCTGATTCCGTTCCATTGAGAACTACACTTAGGGATCTACCATGAAGGTAATCACTGAGGAGACATAACGTAGAGCCTGCAGTTCCCAGTGCTTGAAGTTTTGCTAAGAGACCCTGGTGCCACACCCGGTCGAAAGCGCCAGCAAATGACCAATGCTACCACACAGCTGACTTTGGATTCATCCAGTGACTGGTGCCACTTAGTGGAGAGGTTTAACAACAGATCAGCAGCAGAGTAACCTTTCCTGAAGCCATATTGACGATCACAAAGTAGTGAGTGGTAGTCAAAAAAACTCTGTCATTTGTCTTGAGATTATTGTCTCAAGGATCTTACCAGTGATTGACAGGAGTGACACTGGTCTGTAGTTGCTGATTTCTGCTCTGCTCTTCTTTTTGTGAACAGGGACTACATTTGCCTCTTTCCATAGAGAGGGCCATTTGCACTGTACTAGGCAGTGCTGAAAGATGCGAGTTAGAGGTGCTGCTAGCTGGTCTGCACATCTCAGCAATCTTGGGCTCAACTTGTCTGGGCCCTCTCTCTCTCTCTCTCTCTCTCTCTCTCTCTCTCTCTCTCTCTCTCTCTCCTCTCTCTCTCTCTCTCTCTCTCTCTCTCTCTCTCTATCTATCTATCTATCTATCTTTCATATTTGTGTAAGTAGCTACGTGTTCTGACTCGGAAGGATGAATACCTAATTATCGTATTTTCCAGCATATAAGGCGCGCCTTTTTTTCTACAGAAAGTCTTGGAAAATCAACCTACGCCTTCTATGCTCAAGGTCAGGGTCAAGGTCAAGGTCAGGGTCAAGGTCAGGGTCAAGGTCAGGGTCAAGGGTAGGCTGTGTGTTACGCTTTATCAGGTGTTTACTAACGTTACGTTACTACTGTTTGCAAACATCGGCTTACATGACCGTGCGTCTTATATGATCGTGTGTCTTATATGCCGGAAAATACGGTACTTTCATTTTTTTATCTCCCTCTGATGGGTTATTTCTACATTTTTCTTTGGAGATATAACGGGATTTCTCCACTATTTTTTAATTGTTTTTTCTCACCCTCCTCTCGTAATAAAAAAGTTTAATCTTGGCAAGTAAAGCATAGTTGCAACACTTTGCATGCAAAACAACCACTGGGGGTGGGATGATACTTCTAGGCCTTTCGTGTTGCGATGAACACATCATCAGGAGCTTGCAATGTTTCAGAAATAAGTAGGAAGTGTGATGATTGCAAAACGAAAGACCTGGAGCTATCATTCAACTTCCCCCTGTGGTTGTTTTGAATCTTTGCTCGCCATTTTCTGTATTTGTGTGTGTGTTTGTGTTTGTACCTATGTATCTTATAACCTATTTGTAGCTAATGGAGCATCATTATTATTGCTGTGGTACCCATTACATATTCTTTATATTTGTGTCCGTTCAGCACCATTAAATAAAATATCTATAATAAAAAAATGAAATAATAATAGCAGAATAAGAATTAATACCATTTTTACAAAATTACAAAGCAAATATTGTCATACCCAACACTAAGATGTACAATACACGTTTCTTTCCATTTTTCAGATACCGTTTATAATTTTAGAGACAATGTGGTGTTCGAAACTTGGTTCCCAGAGACTGGAGGTGTGCAAGGCTGGGTGTGGCCTCAAGAAAACGACCTACAGCTGAAACTAACCTTCGTCTACGCTATGAAAACAGAGAAAGACCCAGTTTTCTACCTCGACCTGACTCACGCCCTTCCTGGAAGGTGGTGGCAGATCGCACTATTTCGGGTTAGAATAATTATATGTAATGTTTTTGTATATGTGTGATGTTAGAGAGAGAGAGAGAGAGAGAGAGAGAGAGACAGACAGACAGACAGACAGACAGACAGACAGACAGAGAGAAAGCAGAAAGCAGCAACTTCACACTGGCTGTACCCTTCTCCAGAACATCACTCCATCTGAGATCATTTATTCCCAGGATGACTCGAGTATCGAACACATTCGTACAGCATTATGATGTCAACGAGATAAAGTCAGTTGAACACATGAAAATTCTGGCCCACAGCTGGCTCCAACTTCATCCTGTTCCCTACTTGTATGTCTCATAACAATAAAAATGCTTTCAAATGAGCTGATGTAGGTAACAGCTCTTAGCTTGCCAATAAAGTTAGAAATCCTTAACCTGTAAATAGTGTGTTAATAAAGCTAGGGATCCTTAACCTTGTCAAACCCTGTGTAAGAGAGAGAGAGAGAGAGAGAGAGAGAGAGAGTAAAAGCCATCGAAGATAAGCACTACATGAGAAACAGATACCAAAGGTCTTGGAAATCCACACCGAGGCTGTCTGCTGAGAACTTTCTTCATGTACCTAAATTAAAGACTTTCGTGCTTTATTATAAGACCCCAATGGAAATAAGTCAAGGACCCCAATGGAAATAAGTCAAGGACCCCAATGGAAATAAGTCAAGGACCCCAATGGAAATAAGTCAAGGACCCCAATAAAAATAAGTCAAGGACCCCCAATGGAAATAAGTCAAGGACCCCAGTGGAAATAAGTCAAGGACCCCAATGGAAATAAGTCAAGGACCCCAAAGTAAATAAGTCAAGGACCCCAATGGAAATAAGTCAAGGACCCCAATGGAAATAAGTCAAGGACCCCAAAGTAAATAAGTCAAGGGCCCCAATGGAAATAAGTCAAGGACCCCAATGGAAATAAGTCAAGGACCCCAAAGTAAATAAGTCAAGGACCCCAATGGAAATAAGTCAAGGACCCCACTAAAAATAAGTCAAGGACCCCAATGGAAATAAGTCAAGGACCCCAATGGAAATAAGTCAAGGACCCCATTAGAAATAAGTCCCTTTGTCTGACTTTGTTTAAGTTATCCTTGGTAATTTACACATATATTACTATGTATGATAATTTGTGTAACTGTATTTATGTGTACCTGTACCAAAATAACCTTACTAGAGACAAGAACAGAAAAGTACAAGGCTGTGTGTGTGTGTACGAGAGAGAAAGGAGAGAGAGAGAGAGAGAGAGAGAGAGAGAGAGAGAGAGAGAGAGAGAGAGAGATAGAGAGAGACGTTACAACCAATACCGACCCATCATAATATATACAAGCGTAAAAATTGACAGCAATCAAAACTACGTAACAGAACTCAAAAGGGATATTAAACACTTTTTTTCTCTCTCACAGGAAAATGAACGGACAGCCTTGCTGTTAGTACAAGGTCGACTCAGTTACAGGCTAAGCGTCAATATGAAAAACGTGGCCAGAGTCAACTTGGGCAGTAAACAGAAGGGTTTTCTTACTTATGGTCCTACCATCCAACTGTCAAGTAGGTCTACTTAGAGATTTTTGCCACAAGCCATTTCAGAAGTGAATGCCTTGGCCCTAGGTCATGCATTTTACCACGAGTGTCTATGCCTGTAGGACATTTAAATTCAGTATATACGAGAAAAATGAAAATAAACAGATCTATTGTCATACTAGAATAAGAAAACATTAAGCATTAATATATATATATATATATATATATATATATATATATATATATATATATATATATATATATATATATATATATATATATATATATATATATGTCGTGGCGAATATGTAATACTGGCCAATTAGCAAGAACTCATTTAAAATTAAGTCCTTTCTAAAATTTTCTTTTATACGTTTAAAGATATATTTTTTTTCATTAATGTTAATGTAAAAATTTTAATTTTCCTCCAAAAGAATCTTAGAAAACTTACCTAACCTTATTATAACAGGAACAATTTATTTTAGCCTAACCCAACTAAATATATTTTAGATTTGTTTACAATAATTTAATACTAAACAAACACAGTGAAATATATTTTTTTCGTTAGGTTCAGAATGGTTTTGGCGAAATTATTGCATACACAAATTTTCGTTTGTCCTATATGGCAAGATGAGCTTTGCTATTTAAGCCAAGATCGCAAGTTCTGCCTATTTGGCACGACATATATATATATATATATATATATATATATTTAATATATATATATATATATATATATATATATATATATATATATATATATATATATATATTTATATTTATTTTTGCAGCTGTTTGCTCACTAAATGCTACAACAGAAGTAACAAGCGGCACAGCAGTAGAATCCACTAATTACGCAACAGCAATGACTGCAAAAAAGCCTAAAGTAGTGCCTACAAACATCCCCACAGTAGAGCCTATAAACATTACACCAGCAGTGCCAACAGGAGTACCAACAAACCCGTCAGTCATCACATACCCAGAGGGTACTATCATACCACCTGATGGTGAGATGTTATCTGAGCAACTGAGGCTGCACCAAGTAGCCATCTACTGCCTCCTGCTGTTGGTCTGCCTCCTACTGCTTGCTCTCGCTATCTCTGTGTATCTAAATTGCAAGAAACGTAATGAAAAAGAAGAAACTGAAGGTTAGGCTACATTATTGTTCACACACACACACACACACACACACACACACACACACACAACACACACACACAGACAACACACACACACACACACACAACACAAATATATATATATATATATATATATATATATATATATATATATATATATATATATATATATATATATATATATATATATATATATGCAATAAGATCACAGTAAACAGGTGATTTCAGAATATGCAAAACAACCACTGTGAAAGAATAGAGAAATTCCAAGCGCTTTCGTGACTACTCACATTATCAAGGAACAATGAAAGTAGAGCATCAAAGGAAGGCATATAAAGGGTCTATCCCACACCTCATTATTAGATCCCACAACAAAGGAATACCTTACACGCCACTCATAAGAAAGGGAACACTGCAGCAGGCCCGCCGGCCCAACTAGACAGGTCCTTCACACAACCCACCAACAAACTATTCTACCCATTAAATAAGAATTTTAAAAATTATTATTTGTCCAATGTATGGTGTGGGCTAGACCCTTTATATACCTTCCATTGATGCTCTACTTTCATTGTTCCTTGATAATGTGAGTAGTCACGAAAGCGCTTGGAATTTCTCTATTCTTTCACAATGGTTGTTTTGCATATATATATATATATATATATATATATATATATATATATATATATATATATATATATTATATATATATATATATATATATATATATAATAGTGAAGGATGGTGTCCTGGGTTACAATCCTGCTGGCAATAATTTTTTTCACCCTCAAGTGGTATAGAAATTGGAATGATCTAGATGAGGAAGTGGCTAGAGCAGACTCCCTGCACAGTTTAATGAGTGGGTATGTTAAGGCTTAATAGGATGGGAATCAATGAATGTGGTCTCAAGAAGTTAACAGGCAGGACTAAGGGATAAAACTGGACTCTCTCTCTCTCTCTCTCTCTCTCTCTCTCTCTCTCTCTCTCTCTCTCTCTCTCTCTCCTGTCTATCTATCTATCTATCTATCTATCTATTTATCTCTTCCCATGTGCCTAGTTTTAAAAGTTTTCTCTATTGCCTTTCCAGGAAAAGATATTAAGATGAGAGGAATACAAGAGGAGTACCAGGACGTACAAGGCCCCGGTACAAGCACCAGTGAACAGTACCACAAGTACTACATCCCCGTAAACAATATTATTAATGACCAGCTATACGATTACGTGCCCAACTAGCAAACATGCAATCATGCAGAATTAGAATAGTTTATCATGGTTGAATCATTGCAATACTGTACATAAATACACACACACACACACACACACACAGGAGGCAGGAACAATACATAGTTTTAAGAAGAGGTATGACAAAGCTCAGGAAGCAGAGAGAGAGAGGATCCAGTAGCGATCAGTGAAGAGGCGGGGCTAGGAGCTGAGTCTCGACCCCTGCAACCACAATTAGGTGAGTACAATTAGGTGAGTACACACACACACACACACACACACACACACACCACACACACACAACACACACACACACACACACACACACACACACACACACACACACACTCCCTTCGTCGTGACTACCTAAATTTATTATATATATCTTAACCAGTAATCGGATTCCCATAATATCCACGTGTGTTCTCACGATCATCCCCCAGCGGTCTATTTAGTGTACTAATTACGTTAATCTGTGACAGCGTAACTAATGACCCTCACTCGGTGTTAGGAAGCTAGTATTAAGGTTATTAGTCTCTAATTATATTATATGGTTAACATTGGTATTTCTCATTTAAATTTTATTATTATTACTGTAATTATCTTATTATGTGTTAATATTACTGTCAATATGGATTATTTTACTATTATTATTTGTATCTAGATATATTAGCCTCCTCTCTCACTCTTCGTCTTATTCTCACATTACCTACCATCTCACCTCTTTCCATCACTCCCTCTTCCTCTAAATTACCTACCATCCCCTTCCCATTCCTCCATCCTCTCCCAGCCACTTGAGTTTCCTTGGAATTCAGCGATCCAATCTACCCAAAATGGGACACAGAGATAAATAAGTCAGCCAATACCCGAATGAGAATTCGATAGCAGATATCCGAGGCGCTAGAAGCTAGTGGCTGTGTAGTAACGCAAGGTAACGAATGGTAAGGGAGTAGTGTATTAAGGAAGAATTAACGAAGATCTAACGGAGGACTAAAGAACATGTAGCGGAGGACTAACGAACATGTAACGAAGGACTAAGGAAGATCTAAGAAAGTTCTAAGATAGGAATACTGCAGATTTATCTAAGGGTTAAATATATATCCAGTCACAGACAGTCTGTCTTGTCTTAGGAAAACAACCAACCACAGACCAGCATATCTGTCAAAAACAACCAATCATAGACGTGTGTGACTGTCAATATCAACAACCACCAATCACAGATGTGTATGACTGCCACCAGCAACCAATCACAGGCGAGTATTACTGCTGATATTAACCAACACAGCATCACTTTCTCTAGTCAATAATCGCTCCATAAATGATATTAACCTCTCTTATAAATAATATTACCTGTTTATATTACTTTTCTGCTCAAATTATAAATCTGATAAACAATGTATTCAGAATATAATTCTCCAAAACACACGTCTCAACAGCATATACATTCCCCATATACATCATAGTGGATCATATAAATCATTCATGACCTATGTAAATGCAATTTATATTTCCATGTTGCCAAGGGGGTAAAACTCCCAGTCTGGCCTTGAATGTGGATGTTACGAGGCGGATTTGGCTAAATTAACAGTGTTGATGCATCGGGTACACAGTCATGAGAGAGAGTTTGGTATTTCCAACCCTAATTATGTCACTGTAATCTCCAATTCATCTGTTGAAAGCATTCATTACTGTTTAGTTACGGTTCTCGGCTGTTATTATCACAACTACGACTACTGTTACTACCGTCACTACCACTATTGTTACTACTACCACCTCTCACTGCACTCATTACTGTTCTGTCACCATTTCTGTTACTACCACAACCACCACCACTCTTCCTGTTGTACCACAACCACTTCTACTATTACTACTACCACCACTACCACATCATATTAATGGTATATAATGCCGACAAGTACTTCAATAAAACATATTCAAATGATAAGTATTTTTACTGCCGAAAAGTCTCGCCTGCACGGAAGGCTTCTTTAGACGTATACAGACATCATTAATATATTGGAGACAGTTGAAGAAATCTTGTTCAATTCCTCAGTTTTCATAGACGTGAAGAGGTAATTCCATAGCTTTGGTTACTGCGAAGCAGAAGTATATAGCTGCATTTATAACAACTGGGCCACAAGTGATTGCATCAGAGTGATCAACGCTATAGAACTGAACACCTTCTATCAGAGTTGAGGGATCACAACAAAAATTATCACACCAACTAACACCACAACAACAACAAATACTGCATTCATAGGGAGCAATACTACTCCAACAACAATCACAATACACTCTCCGCTCCTTCACCCTCCCCCTCCACTGCCTCAAAGGACCCATCAAACAGAAGACCTCACCGAAGGCGTTCAGGAAACTCAGTTACCCTGATTACCAGATCAGGGACCACTCCATGCTTAGCGTACGGAGGATCGATCCCCCCACCACACATTTCACTGTATGACCCCATACTTCTTTAGTGCTTCAAGAGGACGCAGTTTAGAACTCTTCTTTATGGTCTCCACAAAGAAGTTGGAAGAAGACTTTCTGTGGATTATTAACAAGAAGTATGGCTTGTTTCCGACGTCCTATTTTAGACCTGTCAAAAATATAAATATATATAAGAACATAAGACAGGAGGATCACTGCAGCAGGCCTGTTGGCCCATTCTATATATATATATATATATATATATATATATATATATATATAATATATATATATATATATATATATATATATATATATATATAATATATATATATATGTATATATATCAAACTGCGGCAGGCCAGGACTCGACCCTACGAACCTTGTACCGCCTCCAGAGACAGCACAATGCACGCATTACTTTACCTCTGCGCCACCAATCCTACAAGAATCACGCATGCAGCTGATCTACGTGTTTTTCTCGTGATCCGAAGTCACTCTTGGCAGATATCACTGCCACGAGTGACGAATATGTAAAACTGGTCAGTTAACAAGAGCTCATTTAAAATTAAGTCCTTTCTGAAATTTTCTCTTATACGTTTAAAGATATATTTTTTCATTAATGTTAGTGTAAAAATTTTTAATTTGCACCAGAAGAATCTTAGAAAACTTACCTAACCTTATTATAAAAAGAACAATTTATTTTAGCCTAACCCAAATAAATATATTTTAGATTTGTTTACAATAATTTAATACTAAACTAACACAGTGAAATATATTTTTTTTCGTTAGGTTCAGAATGATTTTGGCGAAATTATTGCATACACAAATTTTCGCTTGTCCTATATGGCAAGATGAACGTTGCTATTTAAGCCAAGATCGCAAGTTCTGCCTATTCGGCACGATATATATTATATATATATATATATATATAATATATATTATATATATATAATATATATATATATCTCAACATTATCCTTGATAATATGAAAAGGTCACGAAAGCGCTTGGAATTTCACTACTTCTTTCACAGTGGTTGTTTTGCGTACTCACACACACAATGTGTTTACGGGCCAGGAGCTTGAACTCGACCCCTGCAACCTCAACTAGGTGAGCACACACACACACCAACACATACACACACACACACACACGCACACACACACAAAACACATATATATATATTATATATATATATAAATATATATTATATATATATATATATAATATATATATATATATATAGCGTTTAGTAATTACCAGGGAGGAGGCAGAAGAGTGTAAATATATCCCTGGTATGGATGTTGGGGTAAACAGTTTTCCGAATCGGTCTTAAATATTATGCATCATAAATGAAAGTTGTTGCCACTTCTCTTTATTTGTGCAAAAACTCGACCAACAGTGAGTCGGCTGCAGGAGAAACACACACACACACAGTGAAGAGGCTGGCCAGGAGCGTGACTCGACCCCTGCAACCTCAACCTGTGAGTACACACACACACACACACACACACACACACACACACACACACACACACACACACACACAATACACACACACACCACACACACACACACACACACACACACACAACACACGCACAACATACACACACACACACACACACACACACACACACACACACACACACACACCACACACAACACACACACACACATACACACACACACACACACACACACAACGCACGCACGCACGCACGCACACACACACACGCACGCACGCACGCACTATTATGAACAGGAGGTAATTACTATTATATTATTATTATTATTATTATTATTATTATTATTATTATTATTATTATTATATTAATATAATTATTCTAATATTATCATTATTATTCTATTACTATTTTTCTGTAGCTCATAGATTACACAGCTACTGGGAAAGGGGATGTTAATCACATGTAACTCCAGTTAAAAGGGAGGATGGCTCTAGTTCCTCGGATCAAGAGAACTTCATCAAGGAAATTTCCCTTTGAAGTTTGACGGGAGGTTAGCAATTTCAACTTTTTCACTCCATTACCAAATGCATATTGATGCCGTGTCGTTAATTACGATACGATCTACTAAACTTATATAAACTTTGCCTGAAAAGTTACCATGTTATAGGAAAAGCATACTAATATTTAACTTGTGAAACTAGCAATAATGTATATATATAATATATATATATATATATATATATATATATATATATATATATATATATATATATATTATATATACATTTATAAAATATAGGGAGGTACCACCTCTAGAACTGTAATGGGGACCCTCATCCTCAGAGAAAAGAATAAACTTGCTTCAGGGAAAACTCAAGATTCTCCCTGAAGCTGTTTGAGAATTTTCTCCTACCACCCCCTATATTATGTATATAATTTTATTTAAAGACAAAATACATTGACGAAACATTCACAAAAATATGATACAAAGTAAAACAACATAGGTAACTCAGAGCTACATCTCGAATACTTCGTCCAGCTCCCCTGCGGTGGGCCGCGTGCCCAGAATGCTGCAGGCATTTCCTCTCTGGATCGCAACACTGAGTCTCTGAAAGAGGAAGCTGGTCGCCCTGTGGTCCTTGGTTTCTATGATGAGCTTTTCACCCAGCTCTTTGAGGAACTTTAGAGCACACTTGCCCCATGCTCCAAGGGTCTCCGACCCTATTGGAATGAAGTTATAGCAAGGGGGAAGGTCTTCATATTTTCGGATCTTCTGGGTCTCCCTGTGGCTGGCAGCTCCACCCCTTCCACTACAGAGTATGGCAAGTAGATGCCTGCCAATGTGGCAGCATATATATATATATATATATATAATATATATATAT